TTTACGTAGTATTATTATTTAATACGGAGTAATATTTATCACATGATGAAGTTATGTGAGTAGGTATAATATAATGGAAAAAAGGTCACATAAGCCCTTGTACTATTGTGAAAAAGTCATCTAAACCCATGTACTAAAAAACGATCACATAGACACGCTTACTACTAAAAATCAATCAAACAGGTCCATTGACCTGAAATTAACCTGCTATCACCGGTCAGATGCATTTTTTTTATTTTTCTCTTTCCTTTCTTGCGCATGGTGTAACCGATCCCAAATATGGTACCGTTTTTAAGAAAAAATGAAACATACGGCACCTACTTGTTCGATTATCACGCTCTCTTCAGTCGCACACTCCCACTTTCCCAATCCCACCCACGTTTCTTCTCTCTTTTACGTTTATTACTTTTAGGTTTTTCATCATCAAAAGTTGCCAGTTTCAAAATGATATTTTTAAGGAAAAATTGAAAATAATAATCTCAACTATTGCCGGTCCGCTTATAATAATCCCAACTGTTGATTATTTTTGTATAATCCCAACTATATGAATCGTCTGCCAATAATGGTCCATGACTAGATATTACCTCCTATCAAAAGTGAATTTTAAATAAAATTTAATTGTAAAAATTAAAAGTTGAGATTATTTATAGGGATTACTTGCTATATCTCTCCTTATTCACTTTAGAAACTACATGAATTTATTTACAGGGACTATTATTGGCGGAAGGCCCCTAAAGTTGGGATTATTACTATCAATTTTTCCTATTTTTAATTCAAGAAAACCGGAATTTCTTAATTCAAAACAAATTAAGAAAACTATGTATTACAATTTTGTCACCAAATTTTCATCCTTTCAAAAAAATGTAATTACTTTTTATTTCTCTCTTAGTTCTTACGATATACTTTTTCTTTTCTTTTTTATTCAATTATCATTACAACCAAAAATTAATTATTTTTTCTTCAAAATAAATATTTTTTATATTTTAAAACTTATTTGTAATATATTCTTCATATTCACACTTTTTCCTATAATATATTTATTACCTCTTTTATATTAATGTTTCTATTTTTTAAGACATTATTTGGTTATTTTGATTTGCATTTGATAAAATATGAGATTACATTTTCATATGTCTTATTTATATTTCTACATGTGTGAGTTATGTTTATTGACAATTTATGGAGTTACATTTGATATTATGTGAAGTTACATCTTTTTATGCATGTTTTACATATTTCTAAACGCGAGTTACATGTAGAATGATCTCCACAAGTTACATTTTGCATACATTTAAGTTATATGATCCATCAACGCGAATTACATTTTCCATAATACAAGTTGCATCACAAAATAAAACCATGTGCGCTATTGAAACAAAAAAATCCTTTTTAAGAAAAAAAAGAAAGCAATCCAAGGCTCTTTTGGCAAAAAAAAACTCTTTTGGCAAATAAAAAAAGATTTTTCTTTAAATTTATTTTTATGCACTTAATATTAAAAACAAAACATATTCACTATTTATGTAAATTAATTGAGCAAATAGATTCTTTGCTTCCATTGTTTACATTTGATAGTATATGAAGTTACATCTTCTAATTCGTGAGTTACATCTTTTTATTCATGCGTTACATCTTCCTATGTGCGAGTTACATTTTGACTTGCCTCAATATATTACATTTTGACTTGCCTCAATATATGATTTGTTATCATATATGGTAGTACTACGCATGATTAAATGTGACAATTCTATCATTCATGTTTGTTAATGTATATGTATATAAGTATTTTCTACACACAAAAATAAAATATTACTTATCATATTTATGCAAAAATATAGATAAAAATGCAATTTCTTTATCTCTGACTAGTCCCCGACTAGGCGCCCGCCTAGCCGCCTAGGCGCTAGGCGCTAGGTGCTGGGCTGGCACCCGACTAGCGCCTAGCGCCTTTTAGAACATTGGATCCCATAATTCTATCTTTCATGTGTGTTAATGTATATGCATATTGATGGATAGTGTACCCGGGGGTAGCTTATCCGAGGGGTTATTGCGGAGAACAACCTAGAGAGAAGTCAGAGCAAGCAAGTAAGAGAGAGAGTCAAATGTATTAAATGAACTCAGCGTGTTTTACAAGAGGAAAAAGGGCTGCTATTTATAGAAGCCATAAATGCTAGGGGAGTACACGTGTCAAACATCTGACGGCCGAGGGTCACCTCAATCAGGGTGGCACCAACATTTGCATGTGCACCTCATTAAATGCGGTGGTTGGACGTGACGCCACATTGAATGCGGTGGGCGCCTGTATGTAAAAAGAATCTTCGCTGAGCGTGATGTTGCCGAAGGCCCATCCTGTGGCCGAAGGCTCTGTGTGGCCGAAGGCTACCCGTGAGCCGAGAGCTCCTAATTTCTGCCATTTTCTCCCAGTAGCTTTGTATGTTCAAACCTAGCTGTCCTGTGGAATTTGAAGCCCTCGGCCATAGGGGCGAAGGCACCCATATGTGCACCGTGGGCTTCTCAACACTTGGGCCGCTGTGTTTGGGCTTTGTGTGCCCATTGAGCTTGATGGGCCTGAGTAGGAGAAGCAGGAGTCTATGGGCCGGGGGTCCCTGGGTCGTATACTCCATCACATATATGTATTTTGTACACACAAAAATACAATATTACTTATCATATTTTCTGCAAAAAAATATAGAAATTTATACTTATAATATCTTTTATATTATCACCATAATAATATCTTTTTCAAAATTATACTTGTATGGTGTTAAGTACATAATTTAAAGTACACAAAAGGTTTACGAGGATACGATTAAAATTTAATTGTACCAGATGTAATATTATTTATTTTGCAAATAAAATTTTAGAAAGTTACTAAGTACATTTTTTTCTTTTTTTCTTTTACTCCAGGGGCGTCTGGGGGAGAGGACCGGGGAGACCTGGAGTAATCAGGGCTGAAACTCACTCCATTGAGTTTCGAACATGAGACCTCCGATCTCGTAAGGGAGAGTGAGTCAGTGACCAGCTGGGCTGAATCGCTTCCTCAACTAACTACATTCTAACAAATACGTAGTAGTAGAGTATTTTAAATTAAACCAAGCATTCCAGCCCAGCTGGTTGTGAGGTTACCGTGCCTAGTGGGAGGTCTCGAGTTCGAATCCCGCTAGGCACACAAGGGTCGGAAACTCAATGGAGTGAGTTTCAGCCCTGATTACTCCTGGCTCCCCCCAGCCCCCCTCCCCCAGACCCCCCTGGAGTAAAAAAAAGAGTATTTTTAAATTATGTAGTTCTCCAATAAATTTGTATTTGTAAAAAATATAATCATGACGTGAAAATACCTTTTTATATAAAGTTTGGGGTATACATCATATTCAAGTTTGAAGTACTTATCTTAAACCCATTAGGGTATGTTTGGTTCAAGGAATGTCAGATTACCATGGGAATGTTAGATTACTGGGTATGTTAGATAGATGGGAATGTGATTAATGTATAGCCCATTTGTGTTTGGTTACGCTTATGGGAATGTTACATTAAGTTGTTTGGTTGAATGATATCTTATATTACATATTTGGTGAATTACTTAAATGCCCTTTAAATATTTGTTTCTTAACACATTAAACTTATCAATTATTTAATGAGTTTTATTCACAATATGCCAATATGGAAACGCAACTCCTCCTCAGACACGAACATCTTCATTTAAAGAAAAATCATTTTTGAAATCCCAACAACAGGTATCTCTATTGTTGAACAAAGCTCGGTTAAGGAGCTTTCTATGTATCTAACATTTCTTGTTGATTATGAAAAAGATAATGACTTTGACATTCTAAAGTGATGGAAGGATAAAAGAAAGAACGTTCCCGATTTTATCAAAGATGGCTAAGCAAGTGCTATCAATGTCAGTTTCAACAGTTGTTGCAGTACAAGAATTTAGTGCGGCCGGCAACGTGCTAACGGATTATAGAACGAGATTGAATGCAAACTCTCTTGAGATGCTTGTTTGCTACCACGATTGGTTGAAGGCCTAACGTAGAACTCAAGAACTTAGCATCACCTCCACCCAACACTTTTATGGAGGAACCAACAACCGACGGTGGCGGAGATTCCGATTGATTATTATTTATTAGAAAATGATTTCATGTTTTAATTTTTTTTCTCAATTCTCAATTGTAGACTATAGTTCATGTTTCAAATAAATATATTCTTTAATTGTTTTTATATGTAGCACTTCTTGAATTAATTTTTAAACATGAATTATAAAATGTACCCGGCCCGGCCCGGGTAGACCGGCCCGAATCCGTACCGGTCAATAGCCGGCCGGTCCCGGGATACATTCCCAAAAAGCCAAGCCCGGCCGGGCCTAACCCGGAACCAGAACAGGACCGGGCCCGGTCCACCCCTAGATATGTCGATTAATGAAACATGGGTTTTTTCGGAAGAAAATTAATAAGCCACCAGGAATCTTACAAAACCTAAGGCATTGGTGGGTTTGACATGCCTGGTAATGTGATCACCTTTTCCACTTTTGGGAATGTAACATTCCAAAAAAAAAAAAATCAAACCCGCGAACCAAACACAGGTATTTCACATTCCGGACATGAGATTCCGCCCTCTATAGGATATCACCTTGAACCAAACACTGCCTTAATGTTTGGGGTATTTAAATTATTTCTCCCATCAACAATTTAAAATACCCCAAGAAGGAATGAAGGAAAAATAAAATGAAACTGGGAAGTAAAAGAAAAGAAAAAATGAAAAAGGAAATGAGGAACGAAAAACAGATACATTTAAGAGAAAAAATTTTAGGAGAAAACAATAACTAAGAAAGAGGATGAAAATAACAAAAACATAAAAAGCAAAAAAAATGAGATTGGGCGGTGGCTGGTCAGCGGGAGGAGGAAATCAGCTAGCTAGAGGGTGAATAAAAAAAGCAAAAAGAATGTGGAGGAAAGTAGGGACAACAAGAGGGAGAAAAAGGAAAAAGGAAAAGAAAATACGGATGACTTGTGATTGTAGGTTGCTATTAGGTAAGTTGGCCTCTGATGTTTTTTTTTTGGGAAAAGTGTCAAATAAGCCCCCCTACTAACACCAAAATGTCAATTAAGTCCACCAATTCAAATATCATCCAATTAGACCCACAAACACATAAAATAAAATCAAATTGAGTTTTCAGCAAGTAATGTTCCGGTTCCCGGTAAAGAAATATGATGTGTCATTCAATTTTTGTATTTTTTTTTTGTTTTTCGTTTCTTTATTCTCTTTCTTTATTTCTTTCTATCTTCCCCATTCCTTTTTCTTCTCCAGCGGACTCCCCCATTCTCTTTTTTCTCTTTTTTCCATTCTTCTCTTCTGTCCCTTTCTTTCTTTCATTCTTTATTTTACAATCACCTGGCCGCCCAATAGATCCAAACGCCGGTCTTCTTCCCTGGCCAACCTTCGGGAAAGCCAAGAAGGTTGTTCGAGCGCCGGTCATCTTCTCCGGCCAATTTCCGGCAAGGAGAGCACCGATTGTCTTTACCGAGCGTTTTCCTCCTCTCTTACCAATGTTCCGTCTCATTAAGTACCAATCGTCTCCATCAATTTGTTGATTCATTTATTTTCTTGTGTATTAATGGATTGAATGGGTACGTGAAAACCCAAAAATAAGAAAAAGTGAGAAACAGAGGTAGCTTTGGGTTGTGATTTGTGAACTTGTCATTAAGCCAAAGTGGAGACTAAGAATGAATGTAAAAGAAAATAGGAAGCGGGGAGCAACAGGGCCCAAGAAAGAGTCATCGGGAAAAGAGAGGAAGAAGAAGGAAAGAGCGAGGAAAAAAAGTGACACGTGTCACCACGTGGCTCCATTTAGTTGATGACCGGTTGTTACCTAGTAAAAACCAGATTTGAACGGTTTTTATAAGTTGGTGGGTTTAATTGGGTGATATTTGAGTTGGTATGCTTAATTGACATTTTCAGAGTAGTAGGAGGACTTATTTGACACTTTTCCCTTTTTTTTTGAAAGTATATGTACTCGGATGCTGCTTTTTTAGTAGAAGGGTTTAAGTGATTTTTTCACAGTAGTATAAAGGCTTATGTGACCCTTTTTCCTAATATTATTAATGTGACAACTCTATCATTCATGCATGTTGATGTGTATGTGTGTGTATATTCTAAATACACACAAACGCAACATTACTAATCATGTTTATGCAATAATATTGATAAAACTATAAATTCTATGTCTCTGGCTAGTCCTCGTCTAGACGCCCCTTAGCCGCCCAGTTGCTGTGCTGACGCTCAACTAGTGTCTAACGCCTTTTAGAAAATTGGGTATATTTATTTGGTTAATTTCACTTTTGACTTTTTTTTTAGGTACACTTTTGACTATTATGAGTTTATATATGAGAGGTGGAGGGGACCATCTTGGTGTGGAGAAGAAATTGGACGATATTCAAGTATAGGAAGGATCAAGGATGAGTTGACAAATTTGGGAGAGCGAGGAAAGCCTGTAAAGGTGCCCCTAGCGACCATTTATTCTCATTTGTCAAGTTCTGAAGCGGTGAGAGACATGCATTTTAAAAGTTGAATACTTGTAACATAAATTGTCCTAAATAGGAGTAAAAACGTTTTGAAATTCCAAAATAAGAGTATTATGTTTTTTATTTCCTAAATAGGAGTAATCTGCCAAATTTGGGAAAAAATGTCATGTTTAAAGCCTTGTAAAGCCCAAACTTGGCAGAAATTTACGTGCTCCTATTTAGGGAATAAAAAAATGATACTCCTATTTTGGAATTTCAAAACGTTTTTACTCCTATTTAGGGAATTATCTCTATTTGTAATTGAAGGAAGTGGGCATTGGGAGGTGGATTATGTGGAGGAAGAGGAATGGACAAAGATATTGTGGCTGAGTTTGGGAGGGTAACACGTCAACACTTAAGAGTTATAGGAGAAATAAACTTGTTAATGAATGTAGTGAGCGAAGGAATTTTGGTAGAGTGCATGTGGAGCTGAACACGAAATCCTTTATTATTCGGTTAAGCGCATGAGGAGAATGTTCAGGATGGAGGGTGGGTGGGTGAGGGTGAGGGGGGATATTTTCTTTGAAGGAGTTGATACCCATATGACGAAATGAGATACTACACATTTGCTTCGACGTGCGAGGGGAGGTGGAGGTGAAGGAAGCTCTATTTTATATGCATTCTGGTGAGTCTGGATTGTATGAGTCAAATTGTGGTGGAGTTTTGAAAACAAGTTTTTGAATTTGGTAACCGCATTTAGTTCTTATTCCATAGAAGGATGCTCCGGAGGTTATTGCATATTGAAGGCTCATTTCTCTATGTAACATGGGGTATAAGGTATTTGGGAAGGTGCTAGCTAACTAGATTCTGTGCTAAATGGGATGGTGTCACAGAATCAAAGTGTTTTTATACTTGATCGGTCGATAATTGATATGATGATTTCTTTTGAGGTTCATCATTTTCTCAAGAACAAATCTCAGGGGAAGGTTGGGCCGTTGGGGTGGTGGGGAAGAAGTTCGACATGAGCAAAACGTAAGATTGTGTGGATTGAGATATTTGGCACACATGCTTGGGAGGATGGGTTACGTTTTTGCAGATTTGGATCACATTGATTATGGACTGCGTATGGCTATGATTTATATATGGTTTGATAACACATAGATTGATCCTATTACTCCAAGAAGAAGCTCTAGGCAGACGGTACATGTGGTGGAAGGACATAATGAACTTGATGGGCATGTGGCGGAAGCCGAGGGAGGGACGCTTAAATTAAATGTTGATGTCACAATAAGGAGGGTGGTAAAGATGTGGGTTGAGTTGAGTGATTCGGGATAGTGTAAGGTCTTTTGTGACAGGGGGTGCACAACAGTGAAGTTGTTTGTGTTTGCCCAAGAGCCTGAGATTTTTTGTGCTTAGGAAGCTTTGATTTGGATTAAGAGTTTATGTTGGAATATGTGGAGTGCAATGTTTTTCAAGTTGTCTCCACTATACATACAAGAACTAGTCATTTTTGAAGATATTGGAGAAATTATAGCTACTTTTAATAACATTAGTTTGATTCATATCATGACATTTGTTAGTCTCGTTGAATTGCCCACATGGTCTAACAAGGACAACAATTTCCATGTCTTACCATTGCGTTTGACCGTTTGATCCTCACTCTTTTATTATTCATTTTTTAAACATTGATTTGATGAGATATTTTACTTAATAAATGTTTTCGAAACAATCTCGTAAATATTTTCTTTTCTTCTTTTTTCAATTTTGTTCACGCAGTCAAAATGATATTGTTACACATTACCATGTACTTTTTCCTATTTTATGACAATGTTATTGTTGAACTATGGATCAAAATATAATGAACCGGAAAAAAGACATTTAAAATAATCTCATGCTCATGCTATATATGAAATAACATGAAGATAAAACCTACACAAACAATATTGGATCGTCTGCATACAACATCCTAGCATTATAATATAAACTTTTTGGCTCTCGCTCGAGTCCAAAAATGAGGAAATAGACTTTTATAGTTTGAAAAATTCTTCAAATTGTGTTTAATAAAAGTCATACTTTGACTAATGATATGTATTGTTTAGGTATGTGACCCTTTAATTTTATACGACAATGTACATAAACATGACATGACCTATTTAATGATACAGCCCTTAATGATACAACCCTTACTAAGACAAGACACAGTTTGTGTTATCCTTGTAATTTAATGTTGTTTCATGACCATCCTATTCAGTGACAATTTTCCCTATAAACATTATTTCAACGGAGATATTGGAGAAAAAGGAAAAAAACGCATTCTTCAATATTTTCTAGTGAAAGACAACATTAAGGCATCTATAGCAAAACTTGCGCCATGCAGTGCAAACTTAACAAGATCCTATAATACAAACTCCAGCGAAGTATAATTATAATCTTGCAAACTATAATTATGCCGTATCTAAAATCTTAAATACTGGCATTTCTGTAAAACTTTATCCATATTTAGGTATCAATCACATTTATCTAAACTTTATAGTTTATTTGAGTCAATATCTATTATACTATAAATATAATTCAATAAGCTGACAAAGTCACATATATTACAAACTGCAGCAAATATATACTCCGTTAAATTTGTGTACAAGTTAAGCTAGATTAATAAGATTAATATTGTACTATGTATCTAAGTTATTTGAACACTTTTTTACCAGAGTTATTTGAATACTTGTGAGAATTCATGAAGTCCTAATATTATTAATTATTATAGAATAAAAAGTAGGCAAGCTGTTTCACATATATCCAGGTAGTGTTTTTTGAAATATACGACCAAAGACCTTAGCTTACTGGTTACATACGAAGCATGTATTATTTGAAATACCGGTTAGCGGTTAACCGGCCATAGCTTATTTTCAAAACCATTACCGTACCATGAACCGTTTTTTCCTTGCGGTTGGTTAACCGCACTATGATTTAATTAAAATCAGTACGGTTAACCGAAAAAAGTAACGGTTTTCCGATTTTTCAGTATGGTTAAACGGTTACGGGTTTTTGTGCCCACCCCTACCATGCACACGAGTAGCATTCCCAAAAGGATGGCTATCCTAGCGCTACATAGCACAATAGCTTATGATTTCACAAATTGTACAGTATTATTTATATAAAAAACATAAGCCAACAAATTTATTCATGGGGTCTTTATTCATCTCTTTAAACAAGTTGCTCTGATTTCTGATACATTTATAATATAAAAAACTAATATATGTACAGAGAGAGACATATAACCAATGTCAGGTGTGGAAAAACTCAAATTGTATTTCTCTATACAACAAAATAAGAAGAAAAGAAAACAGTAACTATATAGTAATTTGATATCATCTGGATGGGTATAATTATCAAGTAATAAATCAATAATTAAATAGAATAAGAACTGGCACAAACAGCCTCAAGAGCTTGAGTGAACAAGGCAGAGAAACTAGTCATGGCATGGAGCACGGGGGGTAAACCCGTCTGAATGTTGTTAAGAGTCATCGCCCTCGTCACCTCCACTGCCCTCAGGTGTTTCAACATCTCATCTTCCACCCGGCGTTGCCATGACTGTAGCTCGGCCTTTTTCTCAGCCAGCGGGTCGCGCGCATCCAAAGCCTCACCACCACCGCGATCATTTGAAAGGTTGATACCCACAGTGGAGTAAGAGTTGTAAAACTTCCTCTCAAGGCTCCGAATGTTAGACTCCTTCTTCTCCATCTCCTTGGACACCGACTCAGTCCGTTTCTTGATCTTCACCTCCTCGGTTTGTTTCAAGGATATGGAGTGCACAACATTTATGAAGCTCTTGAGGGCTTCTGACGCCACAGTGTCCGGTACCCGGTCGAGGGCCAGTTTCCACTCCTCGCAGAAGGAGAACGCTCCCCTGCTGGTGGGGCCCACATTGCCATCGACTGATAGGAGGGAGAGCTTGAACCAGCCATGGATGGACCGCACAAAGTCTCTTTGGAACTTTATCAGGCGGGAGAAGGCGGCGTGCCATGCAGAGACGGCAGACTCCAGGTCACGGGTCGCCTGCCGGTGTAGGTCTGACGTTGACTGCTGGGTTGCTCGGTTGATGAGGCCCCTGACTTGTAGGACTACCTCATTCTGGACATCATGGAACTGGCTCATAGATCTCCACATGTACATCAACCTGAGGCCATTAAAAATTTCCATCACAACATTAGTTCAGGGCTAGGCCAACTGCTTAGCTAGTAGCTAGGATATTCTTGGGAATTAATGAAGCATGGTTCCCCAAGCTTGACAACTATCAATATGGCGCAAATATTACTTTCAATGCTCATTACCCATTCAGTGGGAGTTTAGGACAGATTTTGATCTCAAACCATGTAGAATTAGTTAATAATAAAATACACATAAATACACTAGTGTAGATCACATTAGCCTCGAATTAGTTAATAATAAAATACACATAAATATTCGATGAGTGAAAACATGCTTCATACTCAAACATCTTCCTCATTTACTCACCTTCCATGTGTATCTCATTTTTTCTTTTAAAGCTTTCCCAGAATGTTTGTTAGGTATAATATTTGGTCATATTTCATGGCTCAGAATTATTCTTATTTTTACAATGTAATTGTCCAAAATAAGATTACAGCATAAACACTCTCTTCAAATATGATTGTTAAGCTTATCGATCCTAAAATGATAAAGAACGTCATTAATTAAATAAATAAGATCATTAAATAGAGAATGTCGTAAAAGAAAGATTGCTATGATGGTCATATTTTGGGAAAGACTATACTCCAATACCACATAATCCATTTTTTTTCTTAATACTTGTGCTAACTTTTTCTTTTGGGACTAAGGCTTGGATGTTGTTGTTGTTGTGGTACTTGTGCTAACTTTTAGTGCACAATCTCATTTTTCCTAATGTTTTTGGTAGACTTCATGTTCCTAATGGAAGGGAGGTACGGAGGTAATAATTATGTTACCATTTAAGAAGAAAAGGCCACCAAACAATGTATAATACTTACCACCTATCCCTTAATTTTTATCATATAATATGTATAATTTAAATTCATCTATATCCTTACTCCAAAACCGATCACCACCATCAACGGCTTCAGCACTATTAGCTATCACGGTTAACTTCCACAATCATCAGCCACCATCAACTTTTGCCACCGCCGGCCAGAATCGTTTCAAATCATCCACGGACTTTTAAGGATAAATATGTTATTAACTATTGAAGATGTGATTTAATATTTGAAAAAGAATGCAATATCATATTATTAAGCCTATTATCAGTGGGGAGTAAAACAATTATTTATGGTTGCACTGCTTCTTAAGCATGAGGTTAGTGTGCCTTAATAAGCTCCACTAAATATCAGGGCAATTAAACATGAACTAACTTATATTACTGATTATGTTAGCTGAATCATCACATGATGAAAAAACAGCTACAAAAAAACTATTTTAAATGTTGCAATATTGAGAAAAGACACCTTTACCCTCATTTTCAGATGTGTTATTCTTCTAAATACTAATTGAGACAATCAATCCTTTTCCAGCAACACTCTCAACAAATCACATCCACTTTAATCATATCTTACCAATTTTACCATCACCAATGGTCAAATAAGTTCTCAGGCATAATAAGATCCCAAAGAACATTCTATTCCTTTCATGTTTAACTTTAGCCATTAGCCCACAATAACATTAATGCTATCATGATAGTCTAGCATAGTACTAAATGAATATGTGGAAATAAAACATATACATGAGCCCATGGTTGTCGATGGCGTGATATGGCGCGTGCGCCATGCGCCATGTGGCGCGCAAAACCCCTCTGCGCTATGAAAATGGCCTGTGGCGTGGTATATACACATGGCGTCGCCATTCCTGCGCCTTCGCCATTCCTGCGCCTTCGCCATGGCGTTATGCATTGTCCAGTAGTCGTGTAGGCGGGATGTTGGCGAAGAAATCCTGGCCTTATTCGCAAGTCGAACCTCAGTGCAGGCCCAGAACCACGTAAAATAGATTTAGGCCTTAATTAAGGCTAATTTAAGGGTTCAGGCTTTAAATTAAAAGCTAAGCTCAGACCATTCGTTGCCCAAAGGCTTATAGCCAAGTCGCACGCAGGAAGCAAACGACTAAGATGAACGCACAGAGTCGCCCTCCCTCAGTCCCTCGCGGAAGCAGAGCAGTAAAGGAACTCGCAGACTTCCCAGTTCCCAGGTCCCCTATCTTTGGCTTCAGTTTTTTATTATTTTAAATTTTAATTAATTAAGTTGTGTATTTATAACTTTGTTGTTTTAACCTTGTTTTTTGTTGTTGTTTTAACTGTGATACTTTTAATTTAAAATAACCTTCTATGATATACTTCACTTTTTGTTTTGATTAGTTTTTTAATTTTAATTCTCATTAATAAACCTTGTTTTCACTTATTAATTGTGAGTTTATTTTGCAATTTTTTTATTAATTGTGAGTTTCAATTCTAAGTTATATACAATATATAATTATATATATAAATATATATACAGTTATATAGGAGTATACAAATGAGATAAATGAAGATGGTGTTCCATTGCTATCATACCAAGATGATGAGGACTGAGGAGTGTCACAATTGGTGATGATTATGGAATAATCATCAAACAAAACAAGCTAATATATTTTGAAGACATGGAACTTTTTTTTGAATATTATGTTTTTTGGAACTACTTTAAATTATTTGAACCTCACATGCTTTTAGTTAGAATGCTGTTATCCAACTTGTTTTATCATATTTTGGTGGTTGGGTGATACAATTATAGTGTCTATAATTCATTTTTTTTAGTTTTTTTATTTTTGTCACGTGGCGACGCCATATTTGCGCCATCGCCATCGCCATGGAAAAATGCCTGTGCGCCATGGATATCGCCATGCGCCATGACAACTATGCATGAGCCATAATAATCTCTGAATAGGCTGCTAGGAGATGGCTAGTGTCTCACAGAACCAGCTAATGGTCACAGGGACTAATGCAAAGCACATACCGATCTCTATTAATATTCACCTAACACTTAAACGGGACAGTGGCAAATTATAGGATCCCATATTGATACTTAATCAAGATACAACTTTTTTTGTCTTATTGCAGTTCCAACCTACAAAGCAAATCATACTAGATCAAACTTAAACATACCATAACAAACCAGTTAAGACTAGACCATATTTGGATAGTTACAAAATAAACATATAACAGACGAGTTCAGACCATACTGAAACGCACTAGACCAATTCAAACTAGACAAGTCCACTTTAGTCCAAATGTACTAACAGTTCCTTAGAAGACTTCCACCTTTTAAGCAACAACTAACTCAAGTGCATCAGTCCAAGAAGTTTCAGTACTGAAATATGAGCCCTCAAAGAACAAGAAGCTACAAAGAAGAGCATTTTAGGCTCCGTTTGGAATAAGCAACTTTTGACCTAACTTTTGGTTGTAGTGGATGTTACCAAACATTTTTCCTTCAAAAAAGTTTAATGAATTAATCCATTTTAAGAATTATTACCAAACGGGGCCTTGGATAACTACCCAAGTAAAAAAGAAGCACTTACCCGTGACAAAGTTCAACTAGCTGAGGGACAAGGTCAGACTCTCTAAGGCCAATAATAGCAGAAGAGGTCGTGGTGACAGCTTGAGAGGTGACCAAAATCAAAGATTGGAGTTTGTTAATGTCTGCCTTAGTCTTGTCCAACTTGGCTACGTCACCCCCTCTGTATTCCTGACTTTGAAGTGTGGCCAATTTTTTTTCATGCTGAATTTTCGTTCCTTCTCGAGCCTGAAATAATAACCATCATGTCATTCAAAAGATGGACAAAAGTTTAACACCAATGAAGAGTCGCATCATGTCAAGTTAATAAACACCAATGAAGAGTCGCGTCACGAAGACTCACTATTTTTGGTTTGGGAATATGATAGAATATAGCAAAATGACTCTGATAAGAACAGAAAAATAAAATCAACGGGGTGAACCGTTGCCCATATAATCAACGATAAATAAATACCGTTGCCCAGAGCCAAAAGGCTAAACCAACTTTTATTCCAAAATGAGCCTGAATGAATCCTAACAAGCGGTTTAGATACCCATATACTAATTCTTAAACTAGGAAACAAAATCCTAGAAATCCTAATCAACTCCAACTAGGAAACAAAATAATAAAGATCCTAATCAACTCCAACCAGGAAACAGAATAATAGAGATCCTAATCGACTTTAAATAGGAAACAAATCAGGATAATTAAAAAGAATAAATATTAATTAAGCATCCCGCAACCAGCCAACGAAGGTGGGCTCAAGCCCGTCCCCGCCTTCAGTAAACCCACGGAAGCTTCTGACCATGTTCTTCCAAGCCCAGATTCTGCTTCATATCAGACTCACTAAACTGTCCGTCGCTTCTTTGTTATGAAGCAGCCGTCATTCCGTGTGATTCTCAATGCAATTTTCATCCTAGGTCTCCGGAAACAGTCTCTCTGTGCTTTAATACAAGGGTAAGACTACGTACATCCACCCCCTTACCCCACCTTAGGTGGGAGCCTTTGCGACACTGGGTAATGTTGTTGTTGTTGTCAATTAATTGTTGTCTAGAACTCAGACTTATATTCACTTGAACTTATTTCAGCCTAGATCAAATCAGTCCAGACCTGCCTTATATATAATAGACTAGAAGGAATATCAAAATGACTTCACCAGTTGATTGGACCAGACTAACATAAATAATAAATACATCTAATATCATACTAGACCACTTGAGACCACATCAAACTAGTAAATGGTAATCCAAATGGATAGGTCCTAAACAACTCATTCATGCAAAAAGTAGCTTTAAGCCAAAGCCTACCAAGAATGTTCCTACAGTAAGCAAGGAATAATGAAATGAAATACCCAAACTTTACTTTTTCTGGGAAAATATTATAGACTCATAGCCAAATCCCATCATGGTTTAAAAAGGCGCTTCAGAGGCAGGTTTTGAGGCGCGTCTCAAGCTGAGGCGCACAGAAAAAGGTTTTGGGGCTTAGGTTTTTTTTTTTGCAGGACAAGAGGCTTACGCCTCAAAATTCATGGCATACGCCCTGAGGCGCACCTTGAGGCATTTTTCTGAGGCATTTTTCCTTTTCTTCCATCTTTTTAACGTGCTTGTAGCTTAAAAAGGCAGTGTTTTTATTTAATAAAAGGCCCAAACAAGTCTTGTTTCATTTAAACCCTAACATATACTCCCTATTAAGCAATCTGTGTGTCATTAGAACTTATTCATACTTCTGCACAAAGAAGCAGATGGGTAACCAAGGAAAAAATAAGAAAAATAAACAAGTAATGGAGGTAAATGATGATGAAGAAGAGAAAGAACTTAAGGATTATAGATAGTTATGATAGAAGGGATGATGGTTAGAAGACCATCCATCCAGTCATGATGATTAAGCTTCGAGAGTTTCAAATTGTCATCTATGTGATGTGTTTGTTTTGTGTTTGAATTCTCATTTTGAGTTATTGTGTTTGATTATGTGATCATATATGTGTTTGTGTTTGAGACTTTTTGGACTTTTACTATGCATATCGATAGTTGGTATTACTGGTTTAACTATTTTAAGTTTTACTTGTTGGTAAGTTTTGAAGCTTACGCCTCGCCTCTCTTGAACAAACCGCCGCGATACCCAAACTAGCCTTTTTAAACCTTGAATCCCATTACAAGATTGATATAGTAAAATCAACATACCTCTAAGGGCATAATACCACGAAGTAAACATATACCAAGTTAAATAAGATTAGACTATTAGGGCCTAGTATAGAAAATGTGATCACTTTTGATATCATGCATGTCGCAAACCAAATGAGATCACTTTTGATATCATGCATGTCGCAAACCAGGATGAAGGAGGATGATGTTGTGTTGGGTGTGTGACGACCAACAATACCATTTAGTCACATGACGTGACATGAATCGAAATATGAGAAATTGTTGTTGTATACCTTCACTGTTGTTGTATAGAAAATGAGAGAAATCGTAGTGAGAAAATCGGATGAGAATGAGTATGTATACCTTCACTTCCGCATAGAGTTTCTTTTCCCAAGCTAAGAGTCGGTCCAAGGTGGAACGTAAACTTTTTTGGCCCCCTGATTCGCTGATTGAGAGAGGTTGAAGTTTGTACTTGATGGCCAATGGAGGCTTAGAACTCCAGCTTGAACTCAAACTACTCAGTATCCCACTTGAATGATACACTGTCTCTGCAAATTCCACAAACGCCAAAGCCCTTAAAATTGAAAATAATGTATCCATGCATGCTGAGTATGGTTTTAGTTGGACCAACCACCCCAGACCTACTGAAATCATAATAATGATCACTCATGGTGGCAGTGATATGGCGGTGATATTAAAACTTTGTGGCATTTCAGTCTGAAACGTCAAACAACACCTTTATAGGATGGATCATCAGATCCTAATTGGGAGTTACTCCGTAGTTTGTTTCCGTACACTAACACTCCATTTGGATGGAAAGAATTCGAGTAAACCAGATAAACTTACAGATTGGTGAATTAAAGTGAGCTTAGCTCTAAACCGAGATGCATAATTAGCTATAAACCATATACAACATCGTTATATATATAACGATGTTGTACCGATAATTATTAGGTTAACTCACGCGGGTGAAGTAAAAGTTTGTTTTTAAAATTAGTTAAACATGTCTGAATTACTTTTAAAGAGAACTCCTCTACCTATGAAAAACCTCATATTCAGATTCTCTGACGTTGTGTTGATTGATTTTTCAGATGTTTTTCAATGTAAACCTCGGAACAGAAGAACCATTAGTATCTGGTAGTAGCACCAGAAGTGTTGTGTAGTAGTGACTAATTCGGGGCGAACAGTGACATCTCATAAACCCAAACACATTGGGAATACAAAAGAGAGTCCAAATTGGTACTGTTTTTGTTGAACTGTGGTGCACTGATGTGTATGATGAATGAAAAATGTGGTGCAATCCTTACTAGTTATGGAGTTCTTTTGGAGTTTTCTAATTTAGACCAAACAACCAAGGAATTTACGACAGAAGAAAGGGTGAATGAATAAAAGAGTGTAACAGAGAGAGAAAAGGAACCCACTCTTTAACTGCTTGAAATTGCGATCAAGCTGTTCACGGCCAGCCTCAAGCATGTCGCAGACCTGATCGCCAGAAGAAGCGGCCATGTCAAAGTAGGACTTGATGGCAGCTGCAATCTCAGACAGGTCTTCATGCCTCACCACCATTCTGTTATCTGCTTCCACCATTTCCTCTTTACCAGTAGTGGTTCCGTTTCCCCAACTCATCGCAGGCGACCCTCCATTGCCCGACCTATGAGCTGATGAATAGTAATTCTTAGGATTTGACCCCACATTAGTTGCTGAAGGGGTCGGACGGGCTTCGTATATGGGGTCTTCTTTATCTTCCGCCGGATCTTCTTCAAGCCCAGACGACCCAGAGCTAGTAGTGCTGTAATGGTCATGGTCTTCCCATTCACTACACCGCACTTCCTCCCTCTCTGCTTCACTTTCTCCATTGCTAATCCGCGAATGATGACAATGGTGATGACTACGACTCTGCAAAATCGGATCTTGATCATGAAAACTCCTCTTCGAGTAGTGTAATTCTTCCCTTTCTGCTGCTTCACTTTCCCAATTGCTATTGTTGCGTTGAAGATGATGATGGTTCTGCAGATTTTGATCTTGCTTCTGCAAAATCGGATCTTGATTACTCATCCGGTGATGAAAATGATGACTCTGAATATTCTGATCTTGATTATGAAAATCCCTCCTCTTAACGTATTGTAATTCTTCCCTCTCTCTTTCATTTTCCCATTTACTCTTTTGTTGAAGATGATGGTGTCGGTTCTGCAAAATCTGATCTTGATTATGCAAATTACTTCTAAGCTGCTGCTGCTGATTATTCTGCAAAATATGATCTTGATTATGCAAATTACTCCTATGCTGCTTCTGCTGATTATTCTGCAAAATCGGGTTTTGACTATGCAAATTTCCCTTGTTAGAGGGGTGAGAACGTGAAGAGTGAACAGAAGCCTTTTCATCGTTGACACTCTGGTTATCAAAGAAATCATACTGCTTGAAAGATGCATTCTGGGGAGGAATGGTAGGTGGTGGGAATTGGGAATACGAAGACGAGTTGTCGTCATCGTTTTCGTCTTCGTCATCACTGTGCTGGATGATGTGATCGCGCGGCGGCTGGGCCTTGTTTTTCTGGAGCTGTTCGAAGTACTCGGATGTTGGGGGTGAAGGAGGGTGGAAGTTTTCCCAATTCCAGACGGAGGAAGCTTGTGACGGAGAATTCGCGGTGGCGTATGCGTGATCGAAGAAATTGTTGGTGGCCGGCGTGGTGGGGAGGCTGGAGTCGGAGAGGATGTGTGGGAGTTTCATATTGGGTTTTTTCTGGCGGGTTTGCGGTAGCCGGAGCTGGTGGTGGCGCTGGGAGGAGAGAGAGCTGGCGACTGACGAAGAACGGGAGTGGGAGAAGTGCTGCGACTGCGGCGGCGGCGGCGGCTGTTGGGATGGGTGAATCGACGGAGACGGTGAAGGGATGCGCACCGGCGGCGGGCGGGGAGGGGATTTGAAGGCGGAGGAAGGAGTGCGGAGGAAAACGGCAGGTGTCTCGTCGGAGACGGAAAATGATTCCCCGGCGGAGAATGAAACCAGGGCGGAGCCGGTTATCCGGAGGGAGCGGCAGTAATCGGAGTGGGCGGCGGCTAAGTGGTGGCGGGCGTAGACAGCCTCCTTCATGAGGCGGCACCGGTCCTTGCAGTGCCGGACGGTATCCTCGTTGTCCAGCTTGGAGGCGGTGCACCCCCCCATTTCTCCCCCACCCCCCTGCTAGCTATGGCCTATAGAAGAAGGAACCAACAGAAAGAGAAAAGATGGGAGCCTGCCCATGTGTGAATAGCGAGTGGAAAGCAAATATGATTTATTTAAGTGGGGAAGATGGAGTCCCACCTCCACTTCATATCTGTCCTTTTCGTCTTCTTCTTCTTCTCTTCAATTCACCATTGATTTTTACAGTATCGTCTTCTTGACTTGACGTATCACTTTGCCTGCCCACTCTTTCCACGGCTACTTGCACAGAAAATATAATGCACCAATTAAATGCGACGTCATTAAGGAGCAATCCGGCAATTAAGGAAGACAGTTTCATTAGCTAATACTAATGAGTGTGGCAGAGATGCGGTGAAACAATGTCACATCTAAAAGATGAGTGTGTCAGTGATGCGCATGTTGCGTTGGATGTGTGAGCACACTAGGAAGGATCACGTGAGAAATGAGACAATCTGACAAAAGATGAGAGTAACATCCATTGAAGACAAGATGCGGGTGTCTCGCCTACGGTGATTTGGTCATGTGCATAGAAGACCGAATGAATGAATGAATGAATGAATGAATAAATGAATGAATGAATGAATGAATGAATGAATGAATGAATGAATGAATGAATGAAGCACCTGTCAGACGTGTTGAGATGTATGGAGAAGAGGCAGGGAAGAGAGGGATGGGAAGACCCAAACAGACGTGGGTTAGGACAGTCCGAAGTGATATGCTTCTTCTTGGATTGAATGAGGGTATGACTTTGGAGAGAGCAAAGTGGAGGACAAGTATTCGTGTGGAAGAGTGATCTCGTATTATTATTATTATTATTATTATTATTATTATTATTATTATTATTATTATTATTATTATTATTATTATTATTATTATTATTATTATTATTATTATTATTATTATTATTATTATTATTATTATTATTATTATTATTATTATTATTATTATTATTATTATTATTATTATTATTATTATTATTATTATTATTATTATTATTATTATTATTATTATTATTATTATTATTATTATTATTATTATTATTATTATTATTATTACTATTATTACTATTATTACTATTATTACTATTATTACTATTATAACTATTATTATTATTATTATTATTATCATTATTATTATTATTATTATTATTATTATTATTATTATTATTTCCCCTCATCTCTTTTCTTGTTTTTTATTCTTTTATCCTTATATATAAACATTATTTTTATCCTTTTTATTTTATCATTTTTAAGTATATTCATCCCGTTTTATATTATCTTTTTTTATAATAACTTATTTTTTTATCTTTATTTTCTTTCTTTTCCTTTTGGTGGTGTTATCATGTATCGATTCATGTTAGCCGACCTCAATATCTTTTGGGACTAAGACTTGGATGTTGTTGTTGTTGTTGAATCTCATTAGCTAATACAGCTCATAATTAAAAGGTCCAATTGTTTGAGGCGGTGGCATTTTCGTAATTTAAGATAAAAATCACGACTTTTGCTAAATGTGCATTGATGTACTTTTCAGGGGCGGTTATGGGGGGAGTTACCCTAGGCAAGGTGCCTAGGGCCTCCACCTCTAAAGGGGCCTCATTTTTAGTAATGTTTTTATAAAGATAATAAAATAAATAAATAAATAAATAAATAAATAAATAAATAAATAAATAAATAAATAAATAAATAAATAAATAAATAAATAAATAAATAAATAAATAAATAAATAAATAAATAAATAAATAAATAAATAAATAAATAAATAAATAAATAAATAAATAAATAAATAAATAAATAAATAAATAAATAGTAATGACATAAAATTGTATTCAAACTAATTGTATTTAAACTAAGTGATTTATAATGCTAAAATTTTTATAGACATGTGAAAAGTTCTACTGATTAATTTGTGTTCTTATACTATTAAATTTATCTTAAGTTATGCTAAAACATTTAGAGAATTTACTTTATATTTTCATAAATAATACTGCATTCTTTCCTTTCTATTTAGCCAAATTTGATTTTGCAAGTCAATGGTGTTAAACTTTGACCAATTATATAATTTTTGGTTGTATTGATAATATGAAAATGATATGAAGATGTCCTTTATTAAAAATACTATCATAAAAGTATAGATTTATTAGGTTATGTGAAATTTATACATTTTACACTTTATGAAATTAATTTGAACATTGAAACATTTGTTTTGAAAGTAAATTTTGTTTGAATTGATAGAATATATAATAACATTTATACAATTATTTTATTTATTGTTTTTATTTATAGAATTTTCGCAATGCTCTTTTTCTGAGGCCGCGTCTAGTACTTTTAATGAGCATCTGACCTATTTTATTGAGTATAAGCCTAACCATGAACATCATCATCTCTACTTCGTATCTTCTAATTCACTTTTTTTATATATAAAACTTATTAAATTACGTGTATAAACATTTCATATGAATTTCAATATGCAAATTTAATGTGATATGATACTTTTGAAACATGCATTGATATGAAATTTTAAAAATGAGCATATGTAACTTACAAAATGCGCATAATATGAAAATCGTAAGGTTTGTTACTTGAACGTCGAGACAATCACGTCTTCTATTGAGATGAAAATCACGGTTTCTGTCAAATGAACATTAATGAATGTTGACCGAGCATTAAAATTATTTTGTTGAGTATTAAGAGTCTAATATATTGAGTATCATGATACTTTTAAAATATGAATTTATATGACATGTTGGTTTTAATCCAACACGATATAGTAAATATAGATATAAATATGTATGTACAAACTACTTTAACGTGGAAACCGAAAGGGAGAAAACCACGAGACTTTTTGGACAAATGTCCAAGCTACTCTCATTCTCATTAATACTCTCATCACCATTTAGAATGTACAAGTGTTGAACTCCCATTAATGGAGGTACTAAACTAGCTATTCTAGAGAGAAGGAGAAAATGGGGAGGGAGAAGAAGAAGAAGGATCCTTCAAATGGAGGGAAATCGTCCTATAAATAGCAAATGGGTGAGGGGTACAAGATTGCCCAAATGGTCCTAACGGGTCGGAACGAGCCAAAGGGGCCAAAATGGGCCTAACTGGTCGGGCTTCATAGCGGGGTAACGCCTTGGACCCTTGAACAGTAGTAGACTGGGATAATAGATCCCAACATGACATTTTAAAATGAGCATAATGTCAGTATCAAAAAATTAAAAACACCATTTGAAATCGCTAATGTACTCAAATCCTCATTTGTTTATGCTCATTTCGTTTAAGTGTTATGCTCAGTTGGTATGTGAGAGCGATGCCGCAAGGTTTGGATTGATTTGTCGGGTCAATATCACCAAAATTTAGTCTATACAGAGCATGAACGTTGTCATCTAGAATCTTTGAAGCACCGGAGATGGAGGAACGATGACGAACCAGAGGCGCCTGAATTCTGACGGACCGGAGCATCGGCGATTGGGCAAACCAGGTGAGACTTGAACAAATCAGGTTGCAGCAAGATGAAATTCGCTCTTGGTCAGATTGCATCAATGGAGCTTGTCGGTTGATGGTGATGATGAAGCTCGGAGCGATGGCAGATGGCCGGTGAAGGTTGAGCGGTGATGTGAATGGCGAAGCTTCAGCGTGCAAAAGATATGGAATAGAAGAAGAAGAAGAAGACTCGAAGTTCAAGAGAATTAAAAAATATGTACCTTACAATTTGCGCTAATTAAGCTAGAAAAGTAATTGGGATAAGTTCGAACTTGTAATGGGCGTCTAATATAAAGATTTTCATTTCTATTTTAGTAGTTAGTACGAGCTTCCTTCCTATAAAAGGTTCTCATTACAAAATGAAACGGTCATTTAGAAAATAAATAAATAAAATAATTGAAGTATATTATGTTTAACAATTTTGATGAATGTATAATATAACGAAATCATTGATGATAATTGTGATGTTATAAATATATTGTTTTTTACATTTGATGATTGAATTGTCATTTAAGAGTGTTATTCAAGAGACGGTTATTCATACCTCATTCTCACTTAGTGATAGTCACCCGACTTGCCAATGACCACGACCATCTAGTGACAATCGCTTGCCAGTGGCCCACTGACGACCGGTGATCTGCCGCCCATGATATTGACCAAAGCTATGGCTCACTTATTTTTTTCCAGTTCCAACTGGTATTCTCAACCCCGGTAGTGATTTTGGCGCCTCATGCTAGTGATACCATTGGCAACCACCAACCACCTTCGGGTTGGTGCAATTCTTTTGTTGGAAACGATCGATCTACTCAATTTTTTTTTGTATATTACCAGAGATGAGAGGACCTCAGGGTTATACATCTAGTAAGGATAAGGACAGTGGATTTGAATATGATGTAATGTTTGTAATTAATTTAATATTAATGTAGACGTTTTCCATTTTCTTTTTAAGATAATATTACCTCCTCGTTCCGTTAAATTTATTTCATCTTTTTATTTTGATATGTCCCGCTGCGATAGTGCGGTTGTTTCATACCAAGTTTGATAAAACTCGTGTCATGTTGAATCATTTTTACTTTTTTTTGACTTTATCAATTACATAAATCTACTTTTTTTTTAATAACAACATCAAATACTAAATCAACTTTACCAACCTCCGGTTTTAAGACGAGGTAATAATATTTTATTGTATAGTTTCCAAAATATTAGGAGTATAACGCTAGGGTTCTATGATTGTCCTATTTAAACCTATACTGCGTCAGATGGTTTGATGATGGACTGAGTGTTTATTTAACTTACCACGTGAAATGGACTTGCACGGTTATTCGGTGACACCAACTAAATAGTTATGGAGTATTTATTGCTATTAATTCATGCATAATGATAGACTACATTACTACATAAATTTCTCATAAAACAATGTTAAATTTCGAGCATTATATTTTTATTCCAAAAATAGTTTGGATACTATAAGTAGTGCAGAGTGCGAAGAATTTTCAAATAAATATGGCAGCCTGGGAGAAAAAAATGATGCACCAATTTTCAAATGCAGAATTGAGGGTAAAAATGTTGTGAAATTCCAAAATAAAAGTATTAGGATGTTTTCTTTTGGACTGAAATTTGCTGGTCTGGTCTGAACTGGTCTGGTCTGGTCTGGTAAACGTCTGGTCTCTGTGTATTTTATAACTATCCAAGTCTGGTCTGGTCTGGTCTGTTTAAGTCTGGTCTGGTCTGGTTAAGTCTAGTCTGGTCTGACCTGGTTTGGTCTGGTCTGGTCT